GGACTATGCTGGGGTGTCTCTTGGTTCTGGCATGACCCCCAAACACTGGTCCAAGGGCCATGTCCTTCCTGCATTGCGGACGCTAAACAGCTTCTCTTTTCAGATAATGGTGAATAGTGGTTATTGCACATTTGATAGTTTATGTCCTTGCTGGTAAAATAAAAAGTTGGCAACCGTGTTAGTCCTTTGTCCACTCCTGTCTAGTTAAAAAAAAAAATTATTTTTATTTTACTCATCTGTGAAGTTCAGAACTGTACCAACCAGGCTCTGAGGAGGGGGAGGACTCAGATCAGGATATGAACCAGCCCCAGGAGAACCTTGATCCCTGTCTTGCTGGTGAAAGCTGCCACTTTGAAAAGTTCTTTGAGCAACTCCTTGCAGACTGATGAATTTAAATACGCATTCGGTGGAATGGAGCCACCCCTCTGCTTTTGTCAGTGCGATTTTAGACACAGAGTCCTTCTTCCACCTTCTGCCAGGGTGGCTGAGGTTCATGCTGAAATCTTCCCTTCATGGAAGTGGGGGCCAGACTTTGTGAGGACCCCCTTGAGCCCCACAGCAGGTCATGCAGGCAGAGAGCAGCCGACAGCTGCTGTCAGCGACTGGCTTCTCTCTGAGCTTCTGCCAGGCGCTCAGCTGGCCGCCTGTGATCCGCCACAGAGGTCGCCTTAGCAGGTGTCTGGTGGCACAGATGTAAATCATAACAGGACTGGCTCCCTCTGACAGAGACAGCATCTGAGCATCCCTGACAAGGCAGGAAGTCTCATGACTAATTCCCGAAGAGGGTGCAGGCCAGGGCCAGAGAGCTGGTTAATTGCATGGTAGCTAATTCATTTATAATCGTTCATATTCTCTCTTTTCTCCCTCTTTACCTTATAGAGCCTAGTCCTTTGGAGCTGGACTGGGCCTTAGAAAATGTAAAGAGGCAGTAGAACAGATGAGGCAAGAGCAAGGTTTGAGCTTCAACTGTATTTATCAGCAGTGTCAAGCTACTTCTCTTCTGGACCTCAGTTTTCTTATCTGTAAAACGGGTTTTGTGAGGAGTCAATGAGGTGGATATCTGTAAAACATGGAGCACAATGCTTAACCCCTACTAAGCATTCAGTAAATGCTGTTATTTCCCACTCCCACTCTCTCCTTTCACGTGTTCATTTGTATGTTCAGCAAGTATTTATTAGGCATCCAACGCAGGCACTGTATCGTGCAGCTCCCTCGAAAGTGGTGAATGAAAGTATTCAAGTGAGTGTATGTTCATCACCAAACAGCCCAACACAAAGCCGGTGACATCTCTGCTGTGAAGAAAGAGAAAGAAAAGCAGAGTAAGGGCTAGAGTGACTGTGGGTGGGGGGCAGGAGACAGTACAGTGGTGACAGGGACCTAAATAAATGGAGGAGTGAGCCATGCTGACGTCTGGGAGAGAGGCATTCAGGCAGAGGGAAGGGCAGGTGCAAAGGTCCTGAGGTGGAGCTATGCCTAATGGGCTCGAGGAGGAGCCAGGAGGCCAACATAGCCAGAGCTTAGAGAGTGGGAAGGCATGAAATTGGAGCGGTCTCCCGGAGCTGGAGGGTGCTGTGATGGGGGTTTTAGGCTTATTTTAAGGTAATGGGAGAGCAGTGATGTCCTGAATGGAGGAATGATGTAGTGAGGTTTGCAAGGAAACGCTCTCAGCTTAAATGGCAGAAGCCTATAGACAGCCTTTCTTCCCTGATTCCTGCAGGGTCACCCGAGCAAGGCTGGCTGACCCTCTAAGTTGAGCGTCCATCGCTGGATCTTGCCTGTAGCAGTTATTACTGTGGGGTTTGCTTAAGGACGACGTTCTGTTCCCACATCCTCTCTACGTTTACTAGTTGGAATTCTGTAGGCAAGAACTTTCCCTTTTCCCTCACTTTCTATTCATCAATTTATGGTATCAGTATGTACTCAGATATTTATTTTGTTCTCTGGGTTACAAGCCAATACTATTGTTTATTTTCTTGCTTAAGCTGTTCTAGTTTTGGCCACAGGGAGCTCCTCCAGGCTGGCTCCCTTTGGCGTGCCTCCAGCATATCTTGAATACTTCTTTATTTTCTGGCAACACAAAACACTCTGGGTTCATCTTGTATTTTCCCTGGAATCAACCACTTCTCCAAGGAGCCCTGGTTCCCTTTCTTGGATAATGGTATTTAGAAACCAAGATCTGAGTATTGGGTGTGCTTATTGCTGTAGGGGCTCGTTGATTGTTTTCAGTCTCTCTTAGCAGATGGAGCTAGGAAATACGTGTATGTGCACTAGCCCACACACACACAGGTCAACCTTCCTTCCTGTCTCTGTCTACCTACCTCTCTGCCTGTCTTTCTATCATCTATCTACCCAAACCTTGCGTTCACACCGATGCCTTCAAATCCAGTCCTAAGCCTCAGGACTCGTTTCAGCCTTCCCACTTTCCTCATTGTAACGTCTGCCTCTGGGGGAAGAGCCTTGCTCTTGCCATCTGCAGTACCTTTGCTCATTTGTTCCACCTGGTGCACACAGACGCTCGTTTCAGAATTGCTGGCCCGTACCCTGTGACAAGCAGATCAACCAGAATACTGTATTCGTGGGCAGTCCCTTTTCTCTTTAGCCTTAGGGGATCTAGTCAGAGTAGTGTGATGTTGCTACTCACCTGTAATGCAGTTAGGTTTATTTGTTGCTATTTGTATAGCACTCACACACACACGCTCATGGTTCATTTTAATTGTTGACTTTTTGAGTTATGTCCCAAGAGTCGGAGTTATACAGATAGACTCAGAAATGTGCAGCCTTCTCACCCCCCCCACCTGGTTCCAGGCCCCTTCCCATCCTTCCCATCCCCTTCCCACCCACCCCCTGTAGGTAACCAACGTTCTTGGTCTCTGGTTTGTCCTTCCTGGGTTTCTTTTTCACAGATGAAACAATACATGTATATATTTTCTTATGTCTCCTTCTCTTGCTATGTGGAGGGTTAAAGTACCGTAGATACTCTTTCTGGCTTTGCTTTTTCCACTTAATAATATATCCAGGAGATCAGTTCATATCAATTCATAGAGATCCTGGATCACTTCAGATCAATTCATAGAGAGTATTCATAAAGAGCTTTTTTAACTCTGTTAATCAGAAAAAGGTAATTCAACAGCCCAGGGATCACTTTTAGAATTCTATAAGCCTAGTGGTGATGATGATAAATAGCAGAAGCCTTATCATTAATTGAGTATCTATTGTACGCCATGCTCTGTGCTAAGCATTTTATGTAGATTATTGCATTGACTTCTTCCTGGAGCCCTCTGAGGTAGCCGTTAGCTCCAATTTACTGATGAGGAAACGGAGGCTCAGTAATGTTTAGAAAGGTGCCCGAGGTCATTAAAAATGGAGCCACAATGTGGACTCTCTCCCAGGTTTGTGCTCTGTGAGGGGCACACCAGCACCGCTACAGAAGTTCCAGGTTGAAACGAAACCATGTGGTCTTTTAAAACCCAGGCCTTCAAACCCTCTTGATTGTGGATCAGCTGCTCTTAACAGTGGCAGTGGCTGATGGCAGGGACAGGCAGGTAATTTATTGTCTGTTTGTTCCAAAGAAACGGCCCTTCCGTTTTGAGGATCGTGAGTCCTGCCTCTAAGACAGGCGACGAGAGGGATGCTCGGTGGGATCTGCTACCTGAGATGCGGTAATAGGTCCGATCTTACACCTCGTTAATCGCCGGCCAGAGCGGCCAGCGCCATTCACGAGAAAGTACGTTACAGCACAGGGCTGTTGGTGAGTGGGACACTCAGTCAAGCCCGAGTTACAGCAGCTTCTTTTAAAAGTGCGGCAGAAGCGGAAGAAGAATTTCTTTGAGCAGGAGTCTGGCTTCTGTTTTGAGAAGTGACAGCCTTTGGCAGGGAGACAACACACACGATGGACTGGCTGAGAGTGGCTCCTAGAGTCAGAGCGCCGGGGGCCTCACCCAGCGTTGGATTTTCTAGCTGTGTGATCTTGACCAGATCACGTCACCTCTCAAAGCCCACCTGTGAAATGGGGTTAAGAACTGTACCCATCTTTGTCAGGGGTCCCCAGGACTGTCCCGAGGTTCGGTGATATGCTGGGAGGATTCATGGAACTCAGGCTATGATTTATTATAGCGAAAGGCTCCAAAGCAAAACCAGCAAAGGGGAGAGGTGAATGGAGTGAGGTCCAGGGGAAACCAGGTTCAGACTTCACAGGCCTCTCCCAGCGGTGTCATGCAGGGCGCGCTTAATCCCCCAGCAACAAATTGTGACAACGTGTGTAATGTTTTCTCCTGGGGACGCTGCTTAGAGACTCAGTGCCGGGTTTATACTGGCAGCTGGTCACACAGACACTCTCTCCCTAGCGTGTACCAAAACCCTAACTCTCAGAAAAAAAGCAAGTGTTTCCCCCAGACTGCACTGTTTGCATAAACTGTCTCCGTGAGTCGTTATTATAGGACAGTGGTGCGAACCGTCCCGAAACCCAGGGTCCCAGAAGCTAGCCAGGCAGGGGCTGCGCTTGCCAGCCAGCCTTTCCAAGGGTGGCAGCCTCGAGCCCGTGGTGTCGACCCTGTCTGCTCACCACCCGCTGGGTGGCCGCTGGCTGGATTAAGACGATCCGTGTGAGGCACTGGCCGCTCCGTCTAGTGTAGGGGGCACTCAGCGAAAGCAGGCGATTCCTGTGACAGTCAGGGAATGAATTTTGAACGGCTCATCAGCACCTTGAGAACAAGTTCCATCCATCATCCATCCGCTCGCCCGTTCCTTGCCGTTCGGCACGTTTCGAGGGAGCCCCGCTGCCGCAGGCGCTGGGCCGCCTCCTCGGGACTCCTGGAGGGTGGAGCATGTGGGCTTCCAGTCCTGCTGGGCATCGGAGGTGGGTGGTGGTGGTAAGAACCTTCTGGAGATTTCCAGGTAATGTAAGGAGGCCCATTGCGTGCCCAGAGTTGGCAGGATGGGCACGCCAGGGTCGGGAAACAGCCTCCTGATGGCTGCTGTTTGTCTTGTTTTTCCCCCCACAGCCAAGGCTAAATCGAAATGCGGCCCCACGTTCTTCCCCTGTGCCAGCGGCATCCACTGCATCATCGGCCGCTTCCGGTGTAACGGGTTCGAGGACTGTCCTGACGGCAGCGACGAGGAGAACTGCAGTAAGTGACCCCTGGTTCATGCCAGCCGCCCACTGCCTCCATGCCGGTCACTGTCGTCGTCTTCTGCCCAGAGGCTCAGGCATTTTCTGCCGGGACCCAGACTGTTCTGTGAATGTTGTGTGAATGCTCAGCTACCATTTACCCAGACTCTCCTAAGTGCATTGGGCCTCGGGTATACTTTGTTTTCAGTTCTGACAATAGTTGTACGAATGCAGGTATTTGATCCCTGTGAACAAGTAAGGAATCTGAGGTGGAGCGAGGTAAATGAGCTCATCCAGCGTCACACAGCTCACAGGTGGCAGAGCCGCTTCTAGGGTCATTCACACACTCCTCCGATGGACTCTTCACTCCACACCCCAGGTCTACGTGCCTGTTTTCCATCTTACTTTGAATTCTTTTTAAAAAAAATCTGTTCCTATGTTAATTGTATACATACTATAAGAATATATTTTTGAAAAACACTCAAACAGTGTAGAAAGCTAAAGTTTTTGATTTGAGACCACCCTGATTCCTTTTGCCTGCTGTATAATATTCCATGGCATAGCCATAGACACACCCTCTTCTCCTCTCTACCCCGCCTTGCCTCTTAGCACTCCTTGCCCTGGATACATGCAGCCCCTTCCTTGCCAGCCTCTCTGTGTCCAAAATCACTCCACACACTGCAGCTTCGGTGACCTTCAGCATCTCTTCCCCGCCTTTCATACTGTCTCATCTCTCCCAGCAAGTTGTTTTCTACCTGCTGCTGGTCTCAGCTCACTGTTTCGTCTTTGCTTTCCCTGTAACTGTTTAAGCTTCCGGAGCCTTTATAACTGTAGTTGGCTCTGGATAAATTGACCCATTTATTTTCTGTGTCCATGTATTTTAGTAACATTTTCTTCTCCTGATTTTTAAAAGAACTTACAAAATATAGAAAAGTATAAAGAGGGAAACAAAGCTGATAATGAAACACTGATAATATTTGGGCTATTTTGTGCCAGTCCTTTCTCCCTCTCTCCCCCTCTCCCTCCATCTCTCTCTCTCTCTCTCTCTTCTCTCATGTGTTAATTGAGATGTCCTCTCCCCAAAACATAAGTTTTAGCGACCTCAGCGACTGTTTTGATAAATTGATTTTCCCCATCCTGTCGGTTCTATTTTAAGTCCCCAAAGAGGAGGGTGGCTGTCTCCTGTGTTATTTATGTCTTTCCAGGGAACAGTCATGGCTGTGCCCTCCCAGCAGGGACACGGGGGCTTCATAACTCTCCCACATGCCTTTTCCTGTTGCCTTATTTCATCTTCTGGGCCTCAAGTGACAGAAATACAGCACAGCCACTCGATTATCAAATGCTTAGTACAGTGGCCGAAACCCACCTTCCCAGGGAGGCTGCATATCACTAACAAGGTCGGCTGGCTGCGCAGAGTGGGCCTGGAGCTGGAGTGTCTGGCCTCGGCTTGTCTTTCCCCTAATTAAGCATGAGATGGGTGTGCTACATGATCTCTTTGCACAGGGATTTCCTTGTCTTCAGAAGCAGTGCTGAGAGCCTGCTTCCTGGGGCCGTTGTGAGAATTAGATGAGATAGTATCTGAAAAGTGCTTAGTGTAGTGGCTGGCATGGAGTAATTGGTTATAGAAACATATAATGACTTAAAACAAAACTGGGATAAGTGGTTAAGGGGAAGACCATAATTACTAGGATTTTGCCTTTGGCTTCCAATGTCCGAGGACATTCTTTTTTTTTTTTTTTTTTAACACTGAAAAAAATTTTATATTTAGAATTAGCCAGCTGGACTCAGTTTAGATGATGCCAATTTTGTGGGCAACATCCAAAGCATCCTAGTGGGGAGCCAGTGGGACACATGCCTCTTCTCTCCATCGGGCCTGATCGGGGTGTTGACCTTGGCGACGTCAGTGTCACAGAGCTTCTTCACAGCCTGTTGGATCCGGTGCTCGTTGCCCTTGACACCCACAGTGAACACAGGTGGGCCGTTGTCTTCTCTCTCCTTGGCTGACTTGTAGTCAGGGGGACTCGATGATGGCATGGTGGTCAAGCTTGCTTCTCCCGGGGGCGCTCTCCCGAGAATCCTCGGGCTGCCTACGGAGCCGCAGTGTCTGGGGCTGTTAGAAGGTGGGTGACGTGTGGATCGTGTTGTTTTTTTCGTGGCTGTGGACACCTTTTAGCACTGCTTTCTTTGCCTTCAAAGCCTTTGCTTTGGGAGAAGCAGGGGCTCCCTTCTTTAATTTCAGCTCCATCTTCATGTAAAAGTCATGATTCTTTTATATTTCATTTAATGTGTATTAGCTTGATCTCTGCTTCCTGCTGTCCATGAGGCCCTTACAATTTAAGGGGAGAATTGTATATATATGACATATATACTCATACATAGATACTAAAGAGTACTACAATGGCATTAAAAAGCAGGTGTGACACACCATCGTATGTACATTCTGAGTGATTGTCATGCTACATGCTCCTGCCATGGTTAAAGACCCTGTGTGATGTCATTGTTTGGATATTGGTCGTTAATTGTCTAAGTGAGTAAATTATACCCATTCCAAATTAAGCCAGTATTTTCCTTTGGCATACCTACCGTTTTAAAACAGTGGCGCTCGTTCGCTACTTTGAGAACTGGTAAGTGAAGGGACAGAATCAAGCATTTACCCTCCCTTTCTGGTATGAATTTTATCAGCTGTAATGGAAGAATTAGGGTGTCTCTATTTTATAACCGCTAATTAAGAAGGGGTCATCAATGGCTGCTAAAACCATTAGGTGAAACATTGATGAGGAGCTTTATAGCCGATGGGACAGGCTGGAACCCACCGAAAGCAGCAGTCAGTCTTCCCCTCAGACGGCTTCGAATCAGTGTGGCACCACTTTGGGTGGAATGTAGAAGCCCGTCGCCCTGCAGGTCACTCCCTCTCAGCGATTTTCAGTCCTTGTCACCCCATGGCACACATAAATTACATTCTGTAGCACACCCAAAACTATCCTTTTTGCCAATCTGAACAAAAAACAAAAAAAGTATAATTTTGATTCACTCACACCGGACTATTGCTGTGCTGGCTGTTGTCTTTTTTTTTTATCTGACAGTCTAAGGGAAAGAGGTCGGTGACCCAGGCTCAGTAGTCAGGTGGCACATGTTTCAAAGATCCTTGCAGCACCCGGGTTAAAAATCGCTGCTTTGTTTATAGTTGTCTTAGTGCATCTACATACATTCAAAACTCCAAAAGATGGTGTTTTCATGTTTGCTTTAAATTTTCAAATATGTTTTAAAGAACTCTGGAGGGCAAGGATGCTGAGGAGACCGTCGGCCGGGTGGATCCTGTTTGGGTCGCGCTCCCTTCGTTCCCGCTGTTGCGTCTCCCGGAGCGTTTCCCTCCGTCTGGAGCGCGTCCCGTGGCAATCCCTGTAAAGCGGGCCTGCCGGCCACGCTCTCCCAGGCTCCCTGACCTGAGAGTGCCTTCACTTCGCCGTCCTTCCGGAAGGGTATTTTTACTGCATATAGAACTCTGGGTTGACAGTTTGTTTCTCTAAGCACTTTAAAAATGTCACGCCACTTCCTCCGGCTTCTCCGGTTTCCGGTGAGAAATTCGCAGTCATTCAGGTTGTTTCTCCGTAGAGAATACATCATTTTTCTCCAGCTGCTTTGAAGATTTTTTTTTTTCTTTAGTTTCAGCAGTTAGATTATAGTGTGTCTGGGTCTGTGGATTTCTTTGAGTGGAGGGTTCTATTTGGATCTCTAGGTTTTTGCCTTTTGCCATACTTAGTACACTTTTAGCTATTTTTTTTTTCAAATTTTTTTTTTTTTTTAGTACCACACTCTTCCTTCTTTCCTTGTGGGATTCTGACAACTGCTTTAGATCTTTTCTTTTCTTGTCCCATGGGTCCCTGAGGCTCTGCTCATTTTCAGATCAGTCCTTTTATCTTTTTATTGTTTGGATTGGATCATTTCTATCTTTTGTCAGGTTTACTTTTTCCTTCGTCTGCTTTCAAGTCCATATAGTGTGGTTCTTTATTATTTTGGTTACTGTAATTCTGAAGTTTCCTTTCGGTGCTTCTTTCTATCTTCTGCTTTTTGCCGAGACGTTTTATTGTTCACTCTTTTTAAGAGTGCTTGTGATTGCTTGTTAGAGTATTTGTAAAATAGCTGCTTTAAAGTCTTCATCATATAATTTCAACATCTGTCTTATCTTGGTGTTGATGTCTGTTGAATATCTTTGGCCATAAGAATTGAGATTTTCCTGATTTTTCATATGGCAAGTAATTTTGGATTCTATTCTCAATATTTTGATGATTATGCGTAACACTCTGGGTTTTGTTTAAATCCTATGGACGCCCAGCCGGCGTGGCTCAGCGGTTGAGCACCGACCTAGGATCCAGGAGATCGCGGTTTGATTCCTGGTCGGGGCACATGCCCGGGTTGTGGGCTCGATCCCCAGTGCAGGGCGTGCGGGAGGCAGCCGATGAGTGACACTCTCATCATTGATGTTTCTATCTCTCTTCCCCCCTCCCTTTCTCTCTCTGAAATCAATAAAAATATATATATTTTTAAATCCTTAGGAGAATGCTTGCATTTTTGTTTTAGGCAGCCCATGACCCTGTTGGGCCACAAGTTCCTGCCAGCCCCCTGTGAGGCTGCGGTTATAGTAGTTTCCTAGCTGTTTTTTACAGTGCTCTTTGGGTCTGTCCTGCATGTGCCCGCAGGGTCAGTCTGGGACCTGGGCAGGGGTATGTGAGTTCGGTTCTCAACATCTTCGGTGAGCTAACCGGGACCGGGTCTGTGCATGTGCAGCTTGGCCCTCAGCCTAGGAGTTCATAACTGACTATGGAGCTGCTTTCCCAAGTGCGTCCCTCTCCACGATCTCTCAGTCTCTCTGACACTTTCCTGGGAATCTGAGAGGGGGGATAAACTGCCTGTTCCATGACTGTTTGGATTTTGGTCTTCTCCCCAAATTGGCCTGCTCCAGTTTTCTTTTCAGAATCTGAAAATAGCTGCTACATGTGTTCGTTTAGGTTTTTGTTTTGT